TAGTGCTGCAATAGCATCTTCTATCTCCGATTTAAGGATTGAAGGTCCTGTTTCTCCTTCTCCATATAGGTGATCATCAGTCCTGTCAGATGCAAATAATTTTTCTATGTATGATTTCCATATTTTTAAGATCGTTGATGGCTCCGAGATAAGATTTCCATCGCTATCTTTTATGCTGTTGGATGACTTATTGAATTTTCTCTTGTTTGTCATTGATTTTATTTTTTTGTGCATATTGTAACTGTCGTATTTTCGTTCGTATTGTTCTATTTCCCTGCATTCGTTGGAAAACCATTTTTCTTTGGCTTCTCGAATTTTCGTTCTTATGGTTTTGTGGATCTGCTGGTATTTTTCTGCATTTTTATTCTTGAATTTACGTCTTTCATCCATCATATCCATTATCTCATCAGACATCCATTCTTTCTTCTTCCGTCGGTCACGCTTTAATAGAGTCGCGCATGTTGCTTGGATTGCTTCCCTCGATTTATCCCATCTCTCTATTATGTCCGACGTGTTCTCGTTAATGTCCTTTATTTTCTTTCCTAGTTGTTCTCGTATAAAAGTATTATAAAACTAAAAATATTCGAAAAACAACAAATGTAAACAAACATATACGATCTGTCAAAAGTGTCAAAACAATCTTAACAATATGGCCGAAGTGAGGTCGTTTTTAGTCACGTGATGCCCTCTTCATAGATTGTAACTCGATGTATAGAATATAGAAAAATATTTTGGGAGGGGGGACGGGACGAGGTTTAAGACGAGGACTGTGTATTGTGTATGCTATAATACAACGATTGAAACGTATATAAATAATATGTTATAAATAAGTATAAACATTTAGTTGTGTTTGTCTTTAGATCCATAAAAATCATAAAGCTTATTTTTTTCATACTAAATGTCTTTCTGTTTTGCACGTTTATTTTTTGTTAATGTTTATAGGCTAGCCACATCTTACATAATTTCCACAGGATATTGTCTATTTGCATGGCACAACAACTTGTTGACTATTGTATCACTTCCAGTGCATGAGAACCACAGTGTGGAAGTAAGGAAATTTTGTTTTATGTTATTTTTTTTATGTAGTTATTTTACTATATTAATAATATTATTGTATACCATATAATGAGTTTCATATAGAATAGACACTTATGTTTGCTAACAGTTATTTAATTATAGTTTTATTTGATTATTTTAGATTATCCATTTTTACATTTTATATCTAGCCTTTTTCTACCTAATATTTGTTGTACATACCTTTAACAAAAAAGAAGAAATTTAAGTAAAAAAACAAAAATAACAATATACAAAACGCTACGGTGTCGCATAGTATGTGTTCTGTTGCATAGTATGTGTTACGTCGACCTATTCATTAGGGTGGAGTGAAAACTGGCTCAAAAAATATCCGTAAATCAATTGACCTATATGTGGAAAAGTTGCCTAATATAATGGTCTATTCTAGAAAAAAAAGTGACCTAAAATATTGCCATCTTCTACTGCCCATTTAACCGTGCAATTTAAAAAAGTAAAGATAAGTATTTTTAATGCCGTGATGCAGCTCTTAGCTTATTTCCATAAAGAATTCGTAATTTTTGATGGAAATAACCCAGAACTCACCGCGTGGAGGTAGCTGCATATCGAGTTCCACCGCTCTTCCACCCTTATTTGTACTTTTGTGATTAGTTTTCATTAAAAACTTGAAGATATTGACTTTTTGTCTACAATACTGGTAAACTAGCTCTAGAAGTAATTCGTTCCCTTATAAATCCATCCCTTGCTGTATTTCCACATACAGCAACTGACACTTCTGTTACTAATTTGATGCACCTTTCCACTGCTTACGTGTGGCATGGATATTTTAGAATTTCAATTTCAGCTGGAACATCTAAAATCATTTCTTCTAGTTCTTCATTGGAAATACATTTTGTCAGGGGAGGTTCTGTTATTGTTGTCGACTGCCAGTCAATCATATCGATGTAGTCTTCAGCATAAAAATTTAAAGATGGCAATTTGAATTCCCGAAATTCTTGTTGATTTGCTGTTTTCCTACACTTCAATAATCTTCTAAGGCCTAATTATCTCACTGTTTTACGACTATCAGCCAACATAGCCAATAATACATTTTCAGGATGACCGAAATAGCCATTTCTTTGAATTACTGGGTCTATGATTTTTCTCAAATCTTCTGGTAAAAATCTTGATTTTTCAATCATACCAAATAGATGCTTGCTCCCGTGTCGACATGATGGTTGCATTTTGATTGCAAACCATGTGGTGGCATATACTTTCATGACATATTCTGTTAGGATAGTTAGATTTTGTGATAATTGCGCTGTGGAGACATATAATCGTAAAATCTGGTTTGCGGTCGTAAGCCATCTGGAATGAACTATTTTCCCGGGGTTCCTTTTCGACAAGTTCAAAGAGATACTACCTTTTGAAATGGCATTACAAATTTCATATAGGTATTGTTGGTCGGTGTTAAGTTGATCAGCACTAATTTCAGGCAAAGTAATTTCTATCCTTTTAAAATTTGTAGGTTGTAAGGTATCACATTTTTCTAATTGCTTTCCTATCTCACCACGAAGTCCTTTTGGGCCAGTTGTTATTCCGTAAAAATGTTGCATCAAATGTCTTAAAGGTAGTATAGCAGCAAAATGATGGGTGCAATTTGTTCCTCGCATTTCCGGTAAATTCTTTTGTGGATGACCTTTAAAAACAGCTTCTGTAGATGGCTCATTAGCCTTATGGTCTTATAATCTTCATAAACTTTTACTCCTGGTTTTTTGGGCAATGGTACGAACTCAGATTTGAGCCACTCTACTGGTATTTTTCCTGCATTGTATATTTCATTAAATATTTTAGTTATTATTTTTATTTGTTTTTCTTCCAATAGCTTTAATAGTTCTACAGGAATTTCATCAAGTCCCGGTGCCTTTTCATCCTTCATTTGTCTGACGGCTGCCGTTATTTCTTCTGGTAGGATTTCGGGACCTGAATTTTCTTCAATAGTGGGCTCTTGTATTGTTCTAAGGTAATGGAAAAGCTTCTCCAAGTATTCTTCTCATACTTTCTTTTTATCTTCCCTGGTTATGACAATATTGCCTTCATCATCTGTTATTTTTTCTCTGTTGCGTTTTCGACACTTTCTAGCTATTTCCTTCACCTTTCGATGAACATTGAAGTTATCATATCGACTATGATACTCCTCCATTTCCTGACATTGTTCTGTTTTTTGTTTCTCTTTAGCTTCTATTATTCTTCTTCTGATGATGGTATGTATTCTCTTATATTCTTGGAGATTTTCTTTGTTTTTTTTTCTCTGATCCTTGAGTTCAAGTATTTCATCGGTCATTCACGATTTCCGTTTCTCTGTATTTTTCTTCAGGTCATGAATGTGTTGCTTGTGTGAGTCCATATCATCGAGCAAAAAGATAAAAGAGGGAATCTAATCGTTATGAAAAGGAGACCAAAAAAGTGGCCTCTGATGGCGGACATATCCGGAAATGCAAAGGCGCTAAATTTAAATTTTCCAACACTTGTTAACAATACCTGTAAAATATTTTTCAGATAAGAAAGTTTTAATTAAATATTAACGATAATAGTCTAAAAATTGACATAATTGGTAAAAAAACTTCAATATAAATAAAATTTCATGTGACAGTTGGGACAAACAATAACATAACCAAACTAAATTTGACTTCTTAAACAAGGAAAGAGACTGTCTTTCCTTGTTTAAAGTGGCCTCTCAAGATAGCACTTCCTGTCTAGCAATATTTTTGTCCCCACTACCTTTACATTCCCTCTTTTATCTTTTTGCTCGATGGTCCATATCAAATAGGTAAAGAAATAATAATAAGACTTACTCACAATCAATTTAATTTAACAATCAGATCAAAACACAATCAGACAAAAACAAAACAATCAGAACAAAAACAAAACAAAACAAAACAAACATTACTTACATGCCGGTACTCTATTAATTGAAGTAATGTTTGTAAGTTGTAATTGAAATAATTGTGTAATGTTTGTTTTGTTTTATTTATCTGCTCATTTATTAATTTATTACAATATAATATTACTACTTTATACCAATTCTGGGTCTTACCTTGTCTGTTAATACCTTTTATATATTCAAATTTATTCATTTTCAAAACCACAGACATGTAATATTGGCATAATTACTATAATTTGTATAAACTTACTTATTTGTTTATTTTATCTTTATTAGACACCACCCTAATTGGGTTTATTTTATTGCAGCATTAGTTTAACTTTGTATCTAGACCTGAAGATGCTTTGCAAATTGTAGAAAGCGAAACCGGTCGTCTGATTGTTAAATTAAATTGATTGTGAGTAAGTCTTATTATTATTTCTTTACCTATTTTCTTCAGGTGTTGTTCTTTTATCTCTCTCACCGTTTCTTGTATGATGGTCAGACTTTACTCTAAAGTTCCTGCATTTTTGCATTCTAGCACCTTTGTATTGAGGTTTTCACTCACCTTCAGTCGAACATTGGGATCTTTTAGTTTTCTAACATCATATTTTTTCATTGACTTACTTGTAACCTTCTTCATTTTGACTTTGAAATTACCTACAACTGATAAATGATCGGAATTTATGATTCCTAATCTTTTGAATTTTGACCACTTTGTTTTTTTTTATTTCGTTGGTAGTTTGTTATCTTCTATCCATGTGCCTGTTTCTATGAGTATGGGATTCTGGTATGACAAAATTTTTTAAAAACCTTTAACATGTGATTTAAATGAAATGTTTTAGTATTAGTACTTTATTTTAAGACGAACCTTTATTTTATTTATGTATAAAAGATATGTATAAGAGCGTTAAAAATCTTATAAACGTTTTCAAATATTTATATTTAAGGTATATATTTATAAAATACTATATAACAACTGTATTAAATTAAGATAAATGTTACACTACATAAAGCAAATATTATACCTACATAAAAAGTTTATAATTATTATTTATGTCTTCAGGCTGACCAAATCTGCTACTCGGTACTCTGTGTCTTCTCATACATAGCAGCCGGAACCGAAAAACCCAAAATTGTCAAGAAACCAGCGGAACAAGTTTCTCATTTGAATCTTACAGCTTGTCTTAAACCGGGTGGGCCAGTCGAAGAAGCTACTGTTACACCTATGGCTACCGTACCCCCGCCATCTAGCCCCGAACCTGGATCAGTAACTCCTTTAGGAGGTCCACCCAAGTACCCACCACCAGCGCTACCGCCAGGTGTAGCACCTCCTGCTCCCCCACCTGGAGCAAAGACTATTCATCCTCAGTTGTCGTTGCCTTCTAGTAAACCTCCCCCTGTTCCTAGCAGAACTATTCCTTCCAGACAAATGACGGTTGTTTCTTCCCAACCTCCTCAACCCCCGCCTCGACCAAAGTGACGACAAAAACGATATTCCCTGCCGTTCATCTATGGAACGGATTGTAAAGGACCGTCTTGTCTTCCTTGGGTGTGACTCACATTAAAGGTTGTTGTTATATTGGTTTTAGCTGGCTTGTAGAATCAAAAGTAATTGACGATACCATAAAGTAAATACTCAGAAATTATTTTATACTGTTACATAAAGCTATAATTATAAATCACAACACAATTCTGCGTAACTATGGCAGAAAATCTGTAACTTGTTTAGAGTTCGTTATAAAAAATCAGACAAAGAGTTCTTAAATTATTCGACCATTTGTGTAGGAAACACACCTGTTCTCTTATTCTTTCTTCTTCTTTAAGTGCTGTGCGCAAGTTTTAGGCGTGAATAGCTTCCATGACGATTTGTCGATATCGTTCTCGATCTTGCACGGCATGTAATAATTCATCTGCTGATAAGCCAGTTCATTGACGAAGCTTTCGGAGCCATGAGTATTTTTTCCTACCAATTTCACTTTTTTCGTTGATCTGTCCGTTGAGTATTAACTGCACTATTCTGTATCTGCTTCCTCTCATTATATGCTTCAGATATTCGAGTTTTCTCTTTTTTATCAGCTTTATTAAGTAACCTTCACCTTGACCTACTCTATTCAAAATTCTCTGTTTGAAATGTGTTGAACCATAATATTCTGAGCATTCTACGATATAATCACTTCTTGAACACTTCTAATTTGTTCATTATGTTAACCTTCATAATCTAGGTTTCAGATACGAACAGTAATACAGGATACACATAACATTTTAGGAACTTAATTCTCAGCTGTAAGTTTAGCTGAGAATTGCTCAGAAAAGATCTAAGTTTCATAAATGCTCCTCTTGCAAATTCTATACGAGTTTTAATTTCTTCATCCGGATTTAGTGTCTCGTTTATTCAACAGCCCAGGCATTTAAAATGGTTAACTAACCCCCTCTGTGGCTCAGTGGTAAGAGCGCCTACCTTTAAGTCGTGAGTTCGAATCTCATCTGGGTGAAAATTTTCGTTTATTAAAAATTAATAAATGAAAATAATTTCTATCCTTGTGCGATCGGTACTCACCAGAGGGACCGCAGACGTTCGAATGCAATTAGCGTCTCTTAGCAAAGATAATGACGTCGACTTTGCTAAGTATCAAGACAATTACTCTACACACACACACACACACACACTACACTAGGTACCTGACTGTACCATGCCAATGATCATAGTTGTCGAGGCATTAACCCAATAAAAAAAATTGGTTAACTTAATACATAATATAAAATTATTCTTAGGAAAGGGTAGACTTCGTCATTTAGTTCATCATTTGTATTTCGTCATTTTTTTATGGGTTTAGATCAAGGTATTTCTTAGTTACCTTATATACTCTTCTCTTTATGAAGATAATTTAGAGACACTTTTATCAACTGCAACAGACCATAATAAACAAATTGATTTGAAAGTAAATATGCAGGAAACTAAATGGATAGTCATCAGCAAAAGCAAAAATCCAGCTAACAACCTACATGATATAAGGATACAATGAAAAGTAGTGAAAGAGTACAATTATACAAATATTTGGGTTAATCATAAATGAGACTGTTTAGGAAATCAAAAGTAGAATAGAGTAAACCAAAACGTGATTTTAAAGGATTTAAAATGAATTAACCAACAGAGCGGTAAGAATTGTTTATTAAGCTGTTATCTCTTCAGAATTGTATTGTACGTAATGGAAGCGTGGACTCTCACTAAAACAATGTATAAAAGAATTAAGAGTTTTGAGATGTAGACTTTTCGTCAAATGTTAGGAATATAGTGGACGGAAAGAATGACGAATCAACATGTTTTACGACGTCTAAACAAACAAAAGAGGGTCTTTTCTATGAATACCAAAAAATAGAAGGTGAACAATTAAAATGTGGTTTTAAACGATGAAAAATATCCTGGCTTAAGAAGCTCTGCCAGTGGTATGGAGTTCACACTACGACACGACTGCTGCAAACAAAGTAAGGATCATGCGACTGGTCACCAATGTTCCTAGAGGATTAGTCACTTAAAGAGGAAGGAGTCTGTTCTTTTATGCCTAGGCACAAACCTTTCTGGTACCTTAGTTAAAAAATATTGTGTGCCCTACTAGTATGCACCGCTTTCGGTGAACTAAAATATATCCCAAAAGCACCTACACTTCGATAAGTTTAAGGAAAAAAATGTTTAACACATGCATACATCAAGTTTGTAACTGCGGGTTGAAGACCGTAGCTATTACCAGGAAATCTGCTAGAAACTTAGAAGCAATGCAAAAAGCAATTGAACAAAATCAATGGGGAATATCACTGAGAGACTAGATAATAAAAACGTAGAACGGTTATCAAAGATATAATGAAAGAAATTATAACAGTAAAAAGTCCCAATAAAGCAATTATTGGGACCTATGTATATCCAGAAGTGGATGAAAAATGGTAGACTGTATCTATTTAGAAATAAACTAAAAATTTTAAAGTCAATTCTATACGCAAAGTTTTAGTTTCCAGGGAATTTTTTTTGGTCTGAAAACTGTAATATTTGACAGATAATGTACTTTCTAATTTTTGATTAACTTTCACCCTGATATTTGATAGGTACATGTCGTTCGTTCCCTTCAAGAAGTGTAGATTCTACAGATCATCGCGGACAGTCGATGAGTATGGACGGCAACGCACTGCAGACAGAGCTCTTCCTACGGTCCGTGACAGTCTGTGTAGGTCCTTATCCTTCGGAAATTATCTCTCTCTTTTTTTAATTCGTTAATCGAAATAGTAAATTAATTTTTTGTTCGGTTCCATATATCGTATACATCGTTCCGGTTATTATGCTCTGGCGTTGTGGAATTCCATAAACTTGGTTCATTTTGATACAAATTAAAAAAATCAAAAATAACTTCGTTTGTCCATTCCATTTTTAGCAAAAAACTGCAAAGCAACTTTAAAAACACTACAGACAACTACTCGTGTCAGCGAATGAAACACTTTTGACTTGAACTTGTCATCTCAAAACACAGACACGCTATTATCGCGTCGCACTGCTATGTACCGCACCTTTGATGTTACCGACTCTCGATGGATAGGACGCACCAGCACGGACGTGTCTGTGCTACCACGAACGAGACCTTTCCCACGTTGCGTGCACTAGTGCGGCAGACATTTTCAAGGCCAATACGATAACAGTCATTATGTATTGTTATATTATATGATTGGCGTATGCTAAAGTTGCAATAAAGACGTCAATGATTTTTTTTTCAAGCAGAAATCATAAAACATTTCAGCCAGACTATTTTTTGTGTTTTTTCTATGATCTGACTACAGTATTACCATTGCTATATAGCCTTTGATAGTGATTGCCACATTTGCATATAAAAATTCTTCAGGAAATCTTAATTTTTTTTTATTGTATAAACTGCCAGAAAACATTTTAGTCAGATTGTTTTTTGAGTTGTTCTTGCGAGTAAAAGAAAACCATAATTTTCTTCTACCAACTTGCTTTTTTTATTTAGCAAAGCTGAAAATAATTAAAGCTCTTGGTTGAAAAAGGAAGAAACTTATTTTTTGCTATTTCCAGGAACTTAATGGTTTGTGTTATTAGTCACATTTTTGATTTTTCAGATGGGATATTGTCTCTAAATGACTGCAATCTGTTGACCTGTTACCAACTAAAATATATGAAACAAAGAAAAATAAAATATATTATGGTTCGTCTTCTTTTGATTCTACTGCCAAATAGAAAAAAAATATAGTAAACTTTTTTGATAGTAAAAATAGTTCGACGAATTTGGTGTTAACTTATTACGAAAATATCAGATTCTAAACTACATTATAACTCATTAGATCGTAATTGTTTGGTACTTAAAAAACAAACATAAATTTTTACTAATCTTGTTGTAATATTTAACAGTGAAATAATATTCTTCATTTCAATTAAATGTAAGTTATCGCCAAAATTTTATTTATCCAATCCATATCTTTAGTGAAGTTTGCATATTATTATCTCCTCATTTTTTGGCCTTTTTGTCCACACATGGACATGGTTGCACTTTAAATATTCTTAGCTTGCTGTCTTTATCTACTGTAAATTAACATTGAAAAGATAAAGAGCCACGTTTGTAAATTATATTAGCCCAAATATTATATTGCAGACTGCATACATTTTTTTATCAAGAACGAATAAAAATAACCCTCCCAGATGCATCCTATTGTGAATGTCGTGTGAAATACAGCTGCTGCATTCGGTAAACGGTAAATGGTTAATGGTTATTGATTAATGGTGAATGGTTGAATAACAAAACTAACTCTTGAAAGAGTTGAATGTAGAGTACGAATCCAGTGGAACCGTCTGAACCTTTTAAAACAAATCACTGCCTGCACGGGTCAGACCTTCTGTTTAATCAGGCTCTAGACGTAATAATAAACACCAACAAAACAAATTACATGAAATAAGCAGTCAACCACAAATCCTACGACCACTTTAGTTATAGGAAACGACGTCATCAAAGCGATTAACCAAATTGTATATATATAGGAGCATTAACATTCAACACCAGCAAAACCAAGCTAATGATCTTCAGCAAGGAAAACATAACTGGAGCAAATCTGTATGTGAACCAAATAAGAATTGAACGAATCTCACAATACAACTACTTGGGAACTATAATCAATGAGTCGTGGGACTGGGTCATGACCGCAGCCTAGAAAGAAAAACAAGGCTCCTTAAATGTTATGTTTACTCAGTGCTTCTGTATGGACTAGAAACGTGGATATTGAAGGCGGAAACTCTATCAAATCTTGAGGCTTTTAAACTACGGTCATACAGAAAGATCTTCAAGATACCATGGACAGACAAAGTCACCAATGAAGAAGTACTGCAAAGGATGAACACAACTGCGGATTTGGTCAACATCGTAAAGGGCCGTAATCTGCAGTACTTAGGCGATATAATGAGAAATCAAGGCAGATACGAGCTACTTCAATGCA